TCTATAATTTTAATTAATAAAATTTAAGTTTATAATTAAACATACATTTGTTGGTTTATATCAGTATAACGCCCCAAAAAATTTTTATCAAAATGGCCAATATTGCAACACCGTTAAATTAGTTCATGATTATAAGACAAGATATATGATATTATTATATTTTATATATATATATATATATATTTAATATATATTTGTACGAACATTGATATGAACAATTTATGATTATTGTAGAATCATTTCCACAAAGAATTTAAAATGTTGATTAGGAAGACATTTACTTTTTACACATTAAAAAATTTTGAACCATCAAATTCCTGATTTTAATACACATATTTTTCTAGGATTTTTGTATCATATATATCCCAAACCATATCCTAAATATATATTTATTTACATATAATATATATTTCGGCCATAACAAACATTTGATCTACATTTATAAATAAATATATATATATATATATTTTATATTTATAAAAATTGATTTTTAATTTGTTTTTATTTATCTAATCAAGTATTTCTTTTTAAATATTTCTTGTTTCATTTTAATATTCAAATTTAGATTAGCAAACAAAAAATACCTTGATAAATATATATGAATATATATATATATATATATATATATATATATTTAAATAATGACAATTACAAGATATAACAAAGAAATTTTTTTACCAGAAAATTTGGCAAATAAATGACAAACCTAATTTCATTGAAATCGTCCACAGATCTAGCGAAGACAATCTATTCATGCGCGTTTTAACAATGCATATACGTTCTTCACAATTCATAAATATTAATTTAAAATGTTTTAATTTACCAATTTGATAATATTTATTGAGCGTGAAAATTAATATTTAAAACTAAAGAACGTGAAGAATTTTTACAGTAGTCATTTATAATTTGTTGGAATTTTAAAACAAATATTTATATTTAATTTATGGGGTGGATTCACCTTAAACATTTTCAAAATCAAAAATGGCTCACTTGTCATATTTTTCTGCCTAATTGTTCGATGAACATTTTTTTTTTAAAATGGTATTCACGTTGTATTTTTATAAAAAAAAAATTTTATTGTTTTTGATTTTCTACTATTCAATTGAATCCAAGTTATTTTAAATGGTTTTGAAAATTAGCATCTGACAATAGCTAGAACCGCAAGAAAATTTGTCTTAATATCATTTTGCTTAATTCTGGTTAAAAGTTTCAAAGAATAATGTTAAAAAATTAGTTGGTAATTTTAATAAGGAAAATGCTTCTGCCTTCATTTTGAATTTTCCTACAATTTGAAATATAAATTTCTTAAAATGTCCCTTTAACGTTCAATAATTGAACAAAACAACCAATATCAGTTAAACTAAATTAGTTTTTGCTGAAAAAAAATTTTTTTGTCTTATTATTTTTTAAATTTAATCAATTTAATTGATTTAAATAAAAAACTTTTGTTTTAAAAATTTTTTATTAAAAGTTTTAAATCGTAATTGTTTAGAATGGGTTAAAGAAAACTTAGAATTCATTTTTCTGTTTAAATATATATCCTATATATATTTTTTTAATTTTAATGATAAAATTTATCAATTTAGGACTAAATTCTAAAATATCATTCTTCATAGATCCCGATCAATTGTTTAACCTTTTCCGTTCTTTTCCTATATTGATTTATAAATTTGGTAAAACAACATACATACATATATCATATAAATAAATTGATATATTTATAAATATATATATATATATAAAATTTTAAACATATCATATATATATTTACAGTTCCAATGAAAAATAAGTATATATATATATATGCATCGGTATAAATATATACACATTTATTTCATATGCCACAAAATACATAATACTCACATAATTAAATATATATTTCATTGATACACATCAAGTAACACAATTAAAATTAAATAGTTTTTTTTCAAATTGATAATAGTTGGGAAGACTACCAACACACATTTACATTATTTAACAATCTTTAAATATATATATATATATTATATATATATACAAAACAGTGTAAACATTTTAAATAAAAGGATTTTATACAAATTAAAATTATTTCAGTTTTATTGTTGTTTATTTACACAAAAATTGTGTTAATCAATATATATCAAATAAAAATAACATATGAAAGGTATTTATACTTTTTAATATTTTATATGAATTAATGAGGCAATAAAATCGTAATAAATACTGAAAACACAATTGATTTTATTATATAATTTCAAGTAAAGTTCTTGAATTTATTAAAATTTATGACGGTATTTTAACAATTTGTTGGTAGAAAATTAAGAAAAAAATTTTTAAATTAAGTTATTTTAAATTACAATAATTTCACAAAATTTCAGCCATATAAAATTTTAAATTATTTATAATAAAGAAAATAAAAATCAATTTTATTTTCAAATTTAAAAATAATATACAATTTTCAAAAAGAAATTTAATTATTTGTTGGAATTGATTAATTGATATGGTAAATAATAGAAGATAAAATTCGTTTATATTCAAAATTTTGAAATAATTATATTTTTGTAAGGACAAGATATATCATTTTGTAAACTTGAATTTATTATTTTTCTTTTTAAATTATAAAAAATTTTAAAAGTTTAAAATAAAATAACTAAAAAACTTATTTTCAATCTTTTAATAAAATAAAATCAATAAAAATATTTTTAAATAGACTGAAAAATTTTATTTTTTAATTTCATAAAAATAGGGGAATATAAACAAAAAAAATTAAGAAGATTTTAGAACATTTTAAAATAAATATTTTAAAATTAACAAAATTTTTCAATTTTTTAAAATAAAAACATAAAAATTCTCTTGGAAATTTTATATATGGTTTCATTTCATCATTGTTTATAAAATTTTTGAAATGTTTCATTCCATTTCTTGTCATTCAAAATGCCTTCAAATTTGATGAAATATATATAATAAATCCAATACTGAACCCTTTTTGATATTTCCATTTGAAATTGAAAAAATAGCTTTTAAATTAATATTTAAGAATCTTTCTGAAAAAATTCAAATGAAAATTTAATTTTATGAATTGATTTTTAAAGAATGAAAAATTTGATCTTTTTAAAAATGTTTAAAATTTAAAAATTTTTTTTTCACTTATTTTTGAAATAACAATTTCAAAATATTTTTTGGTATTCAAAATCATCTAAAAATTTAAAATATTAAAAATGATTTTTAAATTTCCCTAACTTTTAAATAATGTGATTTTTAAAGATATTTCTTCCTCTCAAAAATTCAAAAAAAAAATTTTAAAAATTAAAAAAAGTTTAATTCAAATTTTTGTCTCCCCAATTTTTTTATGTTCAGATTTTAAAAATGGCAAAATTTTTATTGTTTGAAAATAATTTTGAATTTAAAATTTTTCATTTTTTTTTTTTTCTTTTTTTTCTATATATATTTAATGTTATATAACTCATTTTATTTATTTCACAAAAAATTCAAATATTTTTTGCAACAAAAAAAATGTTTTAAATTTCATAAATTTAATAATTTAAAACATAATGATCAATTTCAAAATTTATTTTTTATTTTTTTTGCTATTTTTCAGATAAATGAATTTTGTTTACAAATAAAAACGATCAATTCAAGAAATTTGATGATCATTTTAAATAATATGTTGATTTTTTTAAAATAAAAAAAAAATAAAAACAAAA